TCGCTCCTCGCGCTCTTATTCACAGTTCGGCTCGTCTGCAGAGCCAACAGTAGCACTTAAATGAGGAACTCTGACCGTGCCTCTCAGGGTTATCTGTGCCTTTCAGCAATCAGTGCTGGCACACATTTACTCTCGCCGTCACTATTGTATAGTGTCCTCAATCTCTAGTATAGGCTGACATATGATGTTATTCTGCTAACATGTACGCATATTCCTTTTCAGATCAAACCCTAAACATTGCGTTAGGCATGTTTCTTTTCTGATTGGCATGGAGGAATACAGGGTTTGATGTTTATATACTTCATATAGAGATCTGTTTTATAGAAATGCATATAAATATCAAAAGGCAATGAATGGATTATTTTCCCCCCACAAAAACATGAGCTCAAGGAAAACATGATGCTGTCAAGACAGCATCCTAAATGACACTGAACCTCATAAGTGACTGATGAGGGACCACATTAATAGAATTTCTCATGAGAGACTTGACTAGAGGTTCATTTCATTGGAGTTTGACTATATATTTATTAGCAACATATACACTCACCTAAAGGATTATTAGGAACACCTGTTCAATTTCTCATTAATGCAATTATCTAATCAACCAATCACATGGCAGTTGCTTCAATGCATTTAGGGGTGTGGTCCTGGTCAAGACAATCTCCTGAACTCCAAACTGAATGTCAGAATGGGAAAGAAAGGTGATTTAAGCAATTTTGAGCGTGGCATGGTTATTGGTGCCAGACGGGCCGGTCTGAGTATTTCACAATCTGCTCAGTTACTGGGATTTTCATGCACAACCATTTCTAGGGTTTACAAAGAATGGTGTGAAAAGGGAAAAACATCCAGTATGCGGCAGTCCTGTGGGCGAAAATGCCTTGTTGATGCTAGAGGTCAGAGGAGAATGGGCCGACTGATTCAAGCTGATAGAAGAGCAACTTTGACTGAAATAACCACTCGTTACAACCGAGGTATGCAGCAAAGCATTTGTGAAGCCACAACACGTACAACCTTGAGGCGGATGGGCTACAACAGCAGAAGACCCCACCGGGTACCACTCATCTCCACTACAAATAGGAAAAAGAGGATACAATTTGCAAGAGCTCACCAAAATTGGACAGTTGAAGACTGGAAAAATGTTGCCTGGTCTGATGAGTCTCGATTTCTGTTGAAACATTCAGATGGTAGAGTCAGAATTTGGCGTAAACAGAATGAGAACATGGATCCATCATGCCTTGTTACCACTGTGCAGGCTGGTGGTGGTGGTGTAATGGTGTGGGGGATGTTTTCTTGGCACACTTTAGGCCCCTTAGTGCCAATTGGGCATCGTTTAAATGCCACGGCCTACCTGAGCATTGTTTCTGACCATGTCCATCCCTTTATGGCCACCATGTATCCATCCTCTTATGGCTACTTCCAGCAGGATAATGCACCATGTCACAAAGCTCGAATCATTTCAAATTGGTTTCTTGAACATGACAATGAGTTCACTGTACTAAAATGGCCCCCACAGTCACCAGATCTCAACCCAATAGAGCATCTTTGGGATGTGGTGGAACGGGAGCTTCGTGCCCTGGATGTGCATCCCACAAATCTCCATCAACTGCAAGATCCTATCCTATCAATATGGGCCAACATTTCTAAAGAATGCTTTCAGCACCTTCTTGAATCAATGCCACGTAGAATTAAGGCAGTTCTGAAGGCGAAAGGGGGTCAAACACGGTATTATTATGGTGTTCCTAATAATCCTTTAGGTGAGTGTATGTTAAAAAAAAAAGTCTGATTGACAGTTTCTCGAACAAGAAAAAAAACTTGAATTAGCTCCATAGGCAGCTCGCCAGTTCTGCGTCTGGTATTTTTTTGTATCCATTTGAATGCCTTTTGCAAAATATATAATAGTATAGTACTAAGTATATTCAGATGAAATAGTAGGTTCTAAAACACAGCACTCTTGTCAAAAACTTAATTCAGGATTTAAATTATTTTAGATAACAGATGCTCTGAGAATACCTAACAAATAACTACTAACAAGTGGCTGTAACCCTGGACTCTGTCATGGATGTCCTGACTTGATCCAAGACTGTCATCCTGATTACTGTGATTGTGTCATAGGGAAAATATATGAGGTTACACAGTGTTTTTTTTTTAATCTCTCCATATGACAGATAGAATCCATAATCCATTATATAAATGTAATCCAACATAATGTATTTGTCAATATAGATGCATAATCCACTGGAATTTTTGCATCACATTCTTGTCCATGCATGCAAATGGACAAGTTCCCGTCACTGATGTAGTAATATATGTGCATAATGATGGCTGGTCCACTTTCATCTCAGCACATGAAGCCCAACAGTGGAGTCACAGCTGCTCAGCTTATTAGCTCATTGAATTAGACCAATCATGAGCCAAATGGTGGAAAGACCGGACAACCACGCAGCGCTTATAAATCAGTCTTACACTTAATGGAACACGGCTGTTTCAGCTCATATTATCCAGCTGATCCGGCTACAGCAAAAAGTTTTAGCAGAAATTTTGGCTAGAACGGAAGGAAACTGGAGATGGTCTCCAAGGCAGGAAGCTCATTTAGTTCCAATTGAGGAATGCAGTCCCTACAAAAAGGGCCCAGCTTTCTTTAAGGTCTTTTATCGGAAATGCTAGCTTTCCTTCTGGGGCGGTCGATGACCAACAGAGCAAGCGGTCATCGGAAAGGGTCGTAGTGTTTTTCCTGACTCGCTACATTCCTGGTGCTGGCTAAAGCACCCCCCCCCTCCCCCCTTTGTCTCACCACTGACTGAGAACACACCATTAACAGAGTCACAGCTTGACAAGAAAAATGAAGAGAGCTATTTTCTGTGGCCTCGAGTGCCAGGCTGAATAATGAGCAGACATTCTTTCTCTCTTCCCCCTCCATGGATTCACTCCTCCTTGTGAAGACCCAGTCAGAGAAGAGTGTTTCTGTACCCCCCCCCCCCCCCCCCCCCCCCCCCCCCCCCCCCCCATCTCGCTCTCTCTTCCTGTGCCCTCCCTGATCTGTGGCTTATTTTCCTAGGAAACCAGGGCAGGAACAGACTACATGTGCACATTCAAGATCTCTTAGTGGTGAATGAGATAAATGTCTCGTGTTGTCTGATTTATGGATTTGGAGATCAGATATTTTGCATCCAGAATGGCACAAACATTCATTATGAAATCAAAGTAGGTGTCTTACGAAATGAGAGTCTTGTTTAGTGCATCGTTTTGATCAGGTCAGGGATGTGTGGGCCTGCCCATAGGAAAGAAACATCACAAATGAGATATCTTAAATATCCATGTAATTATTTCTCATAGACACCAATGACATTAAATTGAGAACAGCTGGAGTTGAAGTCAGGTTCAGAGTAATCCTATAGTGTGTCTCGGCATCTCAAATTGTGTTCAAATTGGCCAGTACACTGAATCAAATTATTCCAAAACTAAATTACTGTACCTTACCGATACGCATGTTTTATAATTAGAATTACAATTTAGAATTCTATATTAAGGATGCACAATATTGGATATTGACTGTAATTAGATCATTTCTTTCTTTTTTTTAAACAATTTTATTCACATTTCTCGTATTCGTCATGACTGCTATCTGAGTGTTTGGCATAGTAATTGATATGGACATAGTAATAATGTTGATATGATTGGTCTTGCGGAATAGATCTGCTACGCTGCTGCTGTTGGTTATTGCTGCTGCTGCAGAGCAAGTACGGGACTTGCTACTGCCAATAGACACACTAAACGCTGCGGTGAGCAAATAAGACATGCTGCTGCTGTGCAATATAGTGTACATGAACTACTGAAGCAGATCTATACGGGTGGAGCTGGGGGAGGAAAGCTTCTGAAAGTGCGCTGCTAACTGCTAGCAAATGTTGACCAAGTATTTGAAGGTTGAGCAGTGATCTCATTGGCTACTGATACAGCAGGAACCAATCAGCGGTGCCCTATAGAGAACGATGTGATTGCAAGCGCATTGAGTTAAGGACCTATCAGAATATCTGAATATATATATATTTTTTTAAATAGTAAAAATTCACCGTCAGCCATTTATCAGTTATTAGCCATAGCATGAGAATATTTTGACTTTTTAGATCAGAGTTTTCATATCAGTGAATCCTTATTCTGTGTCCGTAATGCATGTCAACAATTGAATCATTCTCCTAAGGAATATGAGGAGAAACATCTGAGACAAAGTTGATCATTTAAATGAAATGAAAGATTTCCTTCAAGTGAATGAGCAATATTTTTTTTTCCTTCCGGTTGTATTGGAGTCTAGTGAGTATATAAGCACCACAAAGGTTACAACACACAAGTTCACGCATACAAACACAAAGAAGAGGGCATTAGTCAGATCCTATTTTCTCGAAGTGGCTGTGTTCTCTTCAGACACCTCTTCCCCAACCCTTGAGTGCTAATAAAATGACGAGAGGACCCGTCTGCTGTGCAGGCAGCGTGAATTCACAGCCAGAGAGCAACCGATGAATCGCCATGGGTGTTTTTTCTTCACTGTGTTCATATTAGACCGCGAGTACAGATGTCTGAGTGTGTTCAAATGTGAATTTGCTTTAGCGTCTGTGAATCGTGAATGCAGCTGTTCATCTCTTCCTCCCGTGTAAACATGTTGTTTGTGTTAATATTTGTCTCCGAATGAGTTGGGATACGAGCGTGCTCACATGAGGAAAAGGCAACAGCAGCAGTAATAGTTCAGCTGACTGTTAGCTTGGGCATTGGGTTTGTGATATATGGTTATGGCCATTCATTGAGAGCCAATTAGGCCTCTTCTGTTTGTGAAAACTATGGAATCCCATAATGCACTACTCTCCAGAGCACCCACGGCGGCTGCCTCCTCCAAAGATAAAGAGAACAGGAAAAAGAATTCTCAACCAGAAGATTCATGTTTACTCACTCATCACACTCACACAAGCTGCAGAAAATGAACAATGTTGTTCTCTTCTGTCTGTTTCACATAGATAACAAGCCATTTTCTATGGATCCATTGATCGTCGTCTTCTCAAACCACACAGCTCGTTCCTACAAGCACATCTGAGTCCTGCAAGCAGGTAACTTGTATTTCATTTTTATTTTTTTCATAATGCTTTTTCATTCTTTTGGAGTCCAAAACTTGTTGAAACCACTTTTAATTGCACCACAACCTTCCTGCTTTAATCTGCCATTGTGATTTACAAAAGCAGGGGTGAGAAGAGACCAGAGGATCTGCTGTAATGAAAAACCAAGCACAGGCTTTTATCCTTTCAAACGCAGGCAACAATTGTAATACAGTCTGACCTGTTTTCTAATGCTGATTAGTGTGGTATTTGAGCTGACATTAAACATGGTGCTGTAATTATGCTAAAAGGTAACAGAGAGGTAAATGCAGGGAAAGGGTCTCTTTGTTCTGATAGACTTTATAAACTCTACCTTTGGGTTAAGTGGTGGACTCTACAGATAAGGTTCGAGGTAAAGTAAGAAATCTCTATCTATAGCAGCTATTACCTTTTCCATAAGAGTTTTAAGATCTTGTCTAACAGCATTATTACAAAACTTTGCATCAAGTTCAACGTTGCAGTAAATGGCTCAATACCTGGAGCAATTCATTAGCAGTAAATGTGCAGTTATTGCCTGCGTTTTTAAAAGAAGTTGCTGAAATAATCTTGTGTAATCTGTGCACCCAAATAAGAAATATTACAATTATATATTTAAAACTATTACATAATTCCACTGTACTTTTAGCGAACAAATGCAGATTTCAAAACATTCATGCATGCATATAGAAGGCTGCAAATGAGAGAATGCTGTGGTGGGCTAATGAATGATCGGCACTTGAAACTGTGAAGAACGATGGTACAGATGTACAGCTGGCAGAGGCAAACACCGATGTGAGTGAACATTAAAGATTCATTCAAACAGCTGTTCCTTATCCAGGACAGCACGATCCACCACCATGTGCTCTGATTCTGAAGCTGAAGAGTATGGGAAGCAAGGGTGAACATTTTTACTAAAGCTCAGGGTATTACACAAGCAGCGGATCTGTCTGTGCACTGTCTCCAGTGATTGAAGGGTTTACCTCATACTCAAAACATGAAATCCATGGACTAAAAGTTGAAAACTATGACAGCAGTATTTCGAGAATTTGTGCTTGAATTTGACACACAGAAAAAGTTCTGGCTCAAAAAATAAAGTTGGAGTGGAGTGTACTGAGAATGAACAGACAGACCATATTAATGTCTATTTGTATCTCTGTACAGTTGTTTTACTCTCTCTTCTTTAGAGTTTGATTATTTAGCCAGATATCTGCTGTGAAAGCTCCTTAATTATCATTGTGTAATGCTGACAATTTCAAAATGACACTTAAGACTGACACTCTGGTGTCTCTTGTTGTAAATGCTCAAGTTTTTAAAAATGTCCTGGTTTTCAGTAATTTAATTCAACAGTATCACTTGACTTTGGGAAGTGGTCTTGGCTTATTTAGGTGAGTAAAGGACGTTTGGTCCCACTTTATATTAGGTGTATTTAACTACTGTGTTCTAACATTTAAATCAATCATTTGACACAATGCACTACATACATGTTTTTTACATTATACATATATTATTATAATTACCTGCATGTAATTACATTTGTAATTAATTTATGTAATTACATCTATAATCACACCGTTGTCCCATCCCTTATCTTTTAACACACTTAAACCTAACTGTACCACTAAACCTGTCCCTAACCTTACCCGTATCCCAACTCAATAGCACCATAAGTGTTTTGCAAAACAACATAAACACAATAAGTACATTGTACTTATTTTTTAATTTAAAGACATCTTATATAAAGTGTGACCGGATGTTTTACATGCTACACTGTAACCACAAGGTAATTGTCAGTGGGAGAAAGGCAGCAGAACAGAGGCTGAAACACTGAAAGTTTGCCTAACTAGCAAGCATAGAGATAGAAAGATAGAAAAATTATATTCAGATGTGATTATTCATAACAAATAAAACAAAATTTAGCTTTTATGTGGTCAAAGAAGATATTTTGAAGAATTTCTCAGTTTTTTTTCAGTCCATTCAGTGTTGTTTTGAACCACTTAAATGGACAAAAACAGTTCCTCAAAATATCTTCTTTTGTGTTCCACCGAAGAAAGAAAGTCATACAGGTTTGTAATGATATAAAGGTGAGTAAATGGTGACAGAATTTCCCTTTAATAGCATGAATGGAAATACAGTATGTAATCTGTTGTGAATACTCATTTTTGACATAGAACATTCCAGCTGGAAATGTTCACAAAAATATTGATAGAAATGCTTCTATATGAGCTTTTTTTCAACCATGCATTATCAGCTATACTATTTTTATTTTCTTTAAGGTGGTGATAGTACAAACTAACTTTCAAGCATTAGTTAACAGTCGACAATGAAGTTTGCTCTTCTCTAGGATTTTATTCATAAAAAAAACAAAAACAAACGGCATTTAGCTGATATGTGGTTACTTCCATTTACATTTACATTTATGCTTTTGGCAGACGCTTTTATTCAAAACGACTTACATTGCATTTCAAGGCACACATTTACATTCTTATCAGTTCTTGCTTTCCCTGAGAATTGAATCCATGACCTTGGCGTTGCAAGCGCCAACCCTCTACTGTTTGAGCTACAGGAAAGCTGTACTACTCTTCCTTTCACAGTCTGTCGCTCTCTATTCCCTTTATAGTTCAAGGCATTCGCTATGATGAACTAATGAGTAATTTCAGACAAATGTATTAATTTGGTTAGTTTTATTAGCTATCACTCACATCCAACACAAAACACATTATTGTAATTGTCTCATTCAGATCAGCATGTTTTCACTTGTTAGCAGTTAGCAAAATCAATTAGTTTAAGCACACAAGAGAGGTGGAAAGATCGCTGGCAGACATTACCATGTCGTGAATTGTGTATCTTCTCAGAATCATGTCATTTCAAACTTGTTTTTCTTTACAGTTAGCACAGTGAACTGGTTTGCATTGAATGAAAGCTCCAAATTCTTAAACTAAATGTCATTCATAGAGTGTTGTTATTCACAGAAAAGCTTGCCTTCTGCCCTTTTAAAGAACATGAGTAAATTATGACATTTTCATTTTTTGGGTGATCTATTCCTTTAATGGGCTTGCAGAGTTCACATTCACCCTCACAAAATGACAAATTCAGCATTGAGCAAAAACAATAGGCCCCTTTTTGCCGACATAAAACTCACTGATGGCTTTTCTCAGACATAATAATTTCCGGGATGAAATAGTTTGTCCTTTGTCCCTAGACCTTGGTGAAAGGAAAAGGCTGTTATCTGTCAGCAACACAAAACACGTACCTCCCTTGCAGAATCTCAGCCACGCAAAATAATCAGCCAAACAGGAGAGCTACTCCCGCTGGAAATCACGGTAATAAGCCCACCATCCCCTTTCGAAATAACAGCTGGTTATGTTTTTCTAATGGAGAAGCACCATCACAAGCCATCGCTTCTCGTTCATCAGCAGCTGTTAGCTGTGACTGGAGGTGTGGAGAGAAATCGGCATAATAATATGTGTGTGCCGCGTGCAGAACCAGATCTTTCAGTGATGAGAGCTGTATAGAGTTAAGGCCATGACCCTGCAGAAATGGTGCTCCTGTCTCGTCACCCTCACACCTGGATTTCGAGACGGGGGCAAGGGGTCCAGGTCGGCTTAATAGTGACAACTCTCATGCTGATGATTCTGGGGTGATACATGTGATACGCACCATCTGCCGAGGGGTCAGTCTGCCCTGACAGGGCCTGTTTGAAACATGAACGTGTGTCTGCATGTGTCAGACCGAGCACTTGCATCCCTCAGGCTAATTTGGAACTGATGGAAGAGAATCAGACATATTTTCTTCTGCCATTTCTGCTCTATGCAGCTCGGGCAATACAATATGTTGTTGTTTGTGTCTTCAGGAGAGACAATTTTCCTACACTAGCTACATGAAAGAATTTATTTTGGGGTAAAATATCTACATTTCCCTCATGTGGTACCAAACATGTATGAGTTTCTTTCTTCTGTGGATCACAAAAGATGATATTTTGAAGAATGTATGTGTTTTTGTCCTTTCAGTGTTGTTTTGGACCCCATTGACTTTTCGTTGTATTGACAAAAACATTCTTCAAATTACGGTATCTTCTTTTGTGTTCCTCAGAAGAAAGAAAGTCATAGAGGTTTGGAATGACATGAAGGTGAATACATTATTAAAGAATTTTCCTTTTAAATGATGAATGGCAGTATTTAATGCTACTTTTTGTTCTCAAAATTATTGACATAATTGCTTCTTTACGAGCTTTTCTCATCCTCGTTTATAGTACTTTATAGCAGCTACATACCAATCTCATATTCTTCAGTGTTTGAAAGAATAAGCCAACTTGAAAATACTAGCGAACAGTCGACAATGAAGTTTGCTTTCCTCTTTGGGTAATTTGGTAAGCTGCAGGGTGTCTGTCTTCACAATTAAAACTTGGACAAAAGTTAGTAAGCAAATATGTTTTATTGTTTAATCGATGAGGTGTTCAAGCCTGAGCATCTCCACTCTCATAAATTACTAAATTGTTTAGCACTTCGCAAGGTTTAATGGATTGAAACACGAGGATCCAAACGGTACTCTTTCAGCTCGGATGCAACCGCGCAGGTCAGCGCTAAAACAACCTCCATCCCACTATAGGCCAGTTTTAGAGCAAACACTCTACATTTTAACAAGAGCTTTGTCTGACCTCATCCCCCCGTTGTTTCGCAGCGAGTTTGACTCAGCTCTGCTGATGTCATGGAGCTTTCCTCTAACAAACGAGGCAATGAGAAGACAGGAGGAGACAGCGGAGAAAATAAGAAACAAAGAAATCCCACGAGGCATCATTTCACTTTTCAAACCAATGAGCCTTGCTTGCTGCCCTCTGCTTGGAAAGAGTCACAGAAAGTGTGAGATTAATGCAGATCATCTGTCATCACCTGGCAGCTGATCAAAAGATCTCATTGGTAGACAGCATTCGAAAATCCACTGGAGCTTCTTTTTTCTCACTTGGAGCTGTAGAGGCAGTT